CCTCTCCCCTAGGGGGAATGCCTCCTCATATGCAGTTAAAAATTATATGAGCTATTTTGAGGAAGAGCACACCATACAAGATAATTTCTAATTTCATCCTTACTGCTACCCCATGTCTCCCTTAGCTTTCTTGCTTCCATATTTCTATGTCTTACTTTACATTTTTCTTTCTACAATTAGTTGTACATTTGCTTTATTCACTGTACTTTCTTTCTGTGACTCTGGTTTCTGTGAAATATTTTGTGACCCTTATCAGCATCACAGAGCACATAGGAAAATATTTGCTGTCTAAGAATACAATTTAAACAGGGAAAAGGAAGGGACGGTATCTCTGCAAATGCTTTTTCATTCCCGTATGATCAAAATAATAATAGTTTTAAAATGACAGCCTTAAATCCTAAAATGACAGAATACACAGCACCACATTAGTTTTTTTACAGTGTCTTCTTTCTGACGAACTCAAAATGTCCCTCCAGATACTACAAAAATTGTTTTTATAACATTTCTACAAGATAAGTGAGGTGGATACTTGTTCTTGCCATTTCATAACAGACATACAAAAAAGCAGAATGTGTGCTATACATTAAACAATAAACACAGGTCCTACTAATCTATTATGTAATTCCTTGAATAACTGGCTAATTTTACTAGTAGGAAACACCACTAACAGAAGTGGGGCAGTCACTTGACACATATTCAGCACCCCTCAAATATTCACTGTTCACTATATGATAAGATAAATGAAAAATCAGACTTCATTTTAAGTATAAGGTACAACACTGCCAACACCTAACTGTGGAGTTGTCAAGTTTTCAAAAGAAAAATTAAAACAATATGACTGTACTGATAATAATGATCAGGGATGTGTTAAATACAACTTAAAAATTTCATCGCACCTTTTTTAAAAATACATATTAATTCATAGATAAATAACATTGATAAAATGAAGCTCTTAAGAGCAAGAGGTCTGGGTTTTTTTTTTTTTTTTTTTGTAAAGGGAAACATATTCAGCAATGAAGAAAAAATATAGTCTTAATGAGTATGTATTTTGATAGGCAATTTCACTGTGCTGACCACAGACTATGGTCAAACAATGAAAGCATAGTATAAGCTTAAGAACTTTATAAATTAGAAAGCTGGGAAAAAAAGACCTTATTAAATTGAATGTAGAGTCTGGATATCCATTATTAACTTGTGCTCAGAGAATTTTAGATGTTTCCAAGGAATTTCAACAAGCTTTGTTTATGTCCTGTTGAGCTTCCTGCCATCCCATCAAGGGCCATCACATCACCCATAATTGGCTGGGACTGCAGTTATCTCAAAGCTGATCTGGGAGAGGATCCTCTTCCAAGGTCATGAACCTGGCTGAGGACAGGCCACAAGTACTGACTGACTCCTGGCCAGAGACACCAATTCTATGCCAAATGGGCCTGTGCAAAGAGCAACTCATAATACAGCATCTGGCTTCCATCAGAGAGACCCAAATGAGAAGATAAGAAAGAGCCTGAGGGCTGCCCACATTCACTGGTCTTACCATGTTCCCTATGATCCTTAAACAGGGGGCTTCCATAAAATGGTGAAATAACTTTTCGGAGATGAGGTTACAGTGCCTGCTTAGGTGACAACACCTTGTGGGGCTGAGACAATGTACTCTAGTATGGTACATGCTCTAAATCAGCATTTAATTCATGTGATATTTCTCCCAGGTCTGGGAATGAAGGGATGGAAATGGGACGGGCTTCTCTGCTTATTACCCTGAGTGATCTACTAACAAAACTGTTGCTTCTCATTTCTATGATTTCAGGCTCTGCTGATCTAAAGGTGCTTCTGTTGAGTGACACAACAATGATTCCAATGAGCTGGAAGCTGAGACAGTTATCTTGCCACTTTGGGCTCCATACACCATTGAATTAACAAGAAGTGGGAGAGTCTTACTATCTTGGCTGGGGTGATTGATCCTGATTAGTAAGGGATAACTGAGTTGCTATTACTACAATGGGGATAAAGAGGAGTGTGTCTGCAATACAGCAAATCGTCTAGGGTGAGTACTTCCTGTAAGGAATGTCAACAGGAAAGTACAATAATCTAACTCAGGCAGGATACCTAATGACCTGGCTGTTTCAGGAATGAAGGTATGGGTCAGCCTACCAGGCAAGAACCATGACCAGCTGAGGTGCTTTTTAAGAATAAAGGGCATGTGGAATGAAGGTAGTTTTAAATACCAGCTATAAATACATGGCCAGTTGCAAAAATGAGGAATGTAATAGCGATGGGTATTTCTTCCTTATTTTGATTTAAATATATATATTACGTATTTTTGTTTTCCTCTCTTATTTCCTTATCATTTCACATAAGATGTGTCAATATAATTAGCTTTATCTCTCAGTATTTACATTATAGGATACAAAAGGTGAAAAGAATAGACATCAGCCAAGGACAATAAAAGGGCTTTGTATCCTTTCCTGAGGAAAGGGGTAGTGTGTTTTTGTTTTGTTACAACATGGGGTAGTTGTATTGCATCAGGTACAAACATGACTTCATTAATACCTACAATTATTTGTAGATTAAGTTTGGTTTAAGAGAATGTGGATAACTGCCAAGGTGACAAGGGGTGAACTGTAGAGGCCCCGTAATGTGTCAGTTTGGCTACACTGCACTATGTTTCCCAGAATTCTTTTTCAAACTGTGTGTTGGTGTCTAGGATGCCACAGCAAGGAAATTTCTGTGGGACGTTTGGAGGGCTGAAGTGAAGCCGCAGCCATTTTTAGCCGACACATGTTGTTGTTCATCTGCTAGCTCACGGGCCGGTGGAAGGAGGAGCCAGGACTGTACCTGTTCCAGCCTCCCTGAGTTCTCCTTCAGCATCCCGGATGCCTGGGCCAGGTGTGTGTCTGTGTGGTCAGGACACTGCTTTCTACAGGACACCCATATCACCAAGGACAGAAGCAAAAAGAACTAACATGAGTTTAAGTCCATCCTCACAGGCTCCAGGTCATGCTTATGGGATCTCACTCATTCTTTCTCTCCATCACCTTACACCCATCTCCCCTTAACAAATTCTGCTCTGCAGTCTCAAGCTCCAACATGGATGCAAAGTCAACATTCTCACAGAGCTTAATCAGCTCTGGTCAAATCCTTTTAACAAATCCGTTACTATATATAGTATATCCTCATTATTTGTGGATTCCACATTTGTGAATTCACCTACTTACTAAAATTTATTTAAAACTCCCTAATTGATGCTCATGTGCAGAATGGTGAAAAATGTGAGTTGCCTAGCTTACATTCCTAACAAAGGTCAAATAAGGCCATGCTTTACCTTCTTGTTTCAGTTCTCTTGTTTCAGTGTGCTTTTCACAGACTATTTAGTGCCATGTTTTTCACATTTGTGTGTGTGTGAGTGTGGCGATTTCACTGTCTGAAACGGCCTCCAAGGATAGTGCTGAAATATTGTCTAGTGTTCCTAAGCACCTAAGCACTAAGCCCTAGTGTTGCTTAGAAGATGGTGATGTGTCTTATGGAGAAAACTAGTGTGTTAGATAAGCTGCATTCAGGTATGAGTTACCGTGTTGTTGGCTATGAGTTCAATGTTAGTGAACTCAACAATATTTATTAAATAAGGTGTCTTTAAATAGAAACATTCATAAAGCAAGGTTATATATTGGTGGGTTGATAAAAATGTTGTGACCAGAAGCTTGTAGGAACCTAATCTTATGCTTCCCCAGGATTCACTAATTCAGCATTCTCAGTGACTTTACAGAACTACTGATAATAGAGTCAGTTATATAATATACACATAATATCATATATGTATGTAAATATATTATACATACTATAATATATATACATACACACGCACACATATATACATATTACATAGATATGTTGTAGCATATATATCTCCTATCTGTTTCTCTGACTGAACCTTGACTGACAGACCTGAAAAGTTTAGCTATGATGATAGTGAGGCTGAGTTCAAGTTTAGGTATTTGTGATAGTAAATTATAGTTACAGTAACTATTCTTTACCTAATATTTGAACTGTTCTCCAAATTATTTCCTTCAGTCATGTAAACATGTCTGAAACTCTAAGTGCTTAGTGATTAACTATCTCCTATGTCTGTCCTACGGAGTATTTCGTGTTCAAAACTTGCTCATTCTGACCTCTCTGGCCAAAGCACGCCCATTTTTGTTCTGCAGCCATAACCAGATACCACTGCTCATTTTGTGTTTACCATCCAAATTGGTTGGGAATTGTGAAAGCCGAAACCAGAAAGCAACAAAAAATGTTACTCCTCTTATCTAGATATTACAGACTAATGTACAAACTCTGTTGGGTGGAAATCAATCCCATCCTTAAATTGTCTTCCTAAGCCCACCTGCTTTCTGAGATACTTTGCATTCTACCTCTTTCAATAGGCAGGCCCATCTTGCCTTTGTTTCCTGTGGTGAACATTTTCAGATCCATTCCGGCCCTTATTCCTTACATTGCTGTTTCTTTTGCCTTGAATGTCATCCTGCACGTCTTTCTATAATCCACATCCTACCTAACACACAAGGTCCAGGCAAAATATTGTGCATGAAGAATTTTTCTAAGACCACAGCAATCTCTCTTCCCTGAACTCATAGCAACTGACCGCCTGTTGTATCAATGAGTTGGTACTCAAGCTGTGACAAATATTCTGAGATCCTGATTAGCTACCCAGTCCTTGTCTTAATCAACTATTTATGTACATTCTGTCTCCCTAAGCTTCAGTGCAACTATCTATATTACTTGCAAATTGCCTTACCTATCATCTTTACTGAGTTTTTTAGGAAGCATTTTCAGCCACTTAACAAATTTCTGGTAGTAGATCAGACCCATGCCGTATGTTATCAATAATTCATTCAAAGATACAAGGAAGAATAACATGCTTAATTCACAAAATAGAATTCCACATTTCATTAGCGTATTTTTTTACCCTAAAAAAAACCCACCCACATCTCTCATCAAACACGTACCTGCTGAGACTCGAGGACAATCGGGCAGCATGGACTCCACTGATGTATCTAATGGTTCTGAGCTAGAGACCCAATTACAACAATTCTGCAATGCAATAGAGACAATTTTCTGTTGAAACATTTTTTTTTAAACCAAGACCAACTTTTTTGGCTGCACAGATAATTTTATCCTATATAATCAACCACTAGAAGTACATCCAATTTCTTTTCCATGCACTGTAAAAAATTTCTTGTATAAACAGTCAGTATTATTCATGACCACTGTGGCTGCGGAAGAAAGTTTATCTTCTACAATTCAGCAAATTATTTGTGCTGATAAGAAGACATGTAAGCTCTGTGAGCCATGATGTAACACATTTATAAGAAAAGGCTCAGATTATAATTAAGGGGAAATGAAAAGGATGTCCATTTTTAACTTTTAGACGGAAATAAATATTGATTTGATCATATGAAAGAATAGCTTTGTTTTGAACTATAGTCTTTGTCTCTAATACTAGAAGAAATAAATTTTGCATTTACTTCTTAAAATTTGGCCTATATAAATATACTTTAAGTTTTTACTTCAACCTGGGTTCAGTGAAGGCTGTATCAAATAGTTCACAAGCAACACAACCTAGCGAATTGTAACTGTATGTCTGAGGACACAAACCCTTCAATATTAAAGACAGTCTTTAAGACAATGATGACTCACCAGTCAGATAAATGAAATAAAAAATAGTGTATATTCCTTCCATCTATTCTGATTCTGTATTTAAAGTCTGGCTTAAAAAAATGTGATTAGCCTCATATGGCTTTTTAAAAATCTCCAACACACACACACACACACACACACACACACACATACACATACACACACTAAATTTCCAGACAGATTTTATTTTAAAAGAAATCATCCTATCAATCATGTTGGAAAAATCGCTGATTGCTATTCTGGTAAACAAGCACGTATTGTGTATTTTTAGATGCTTGCTGCCCTGGTTGTGCACCATGGAATCCGTCCTCACTGTGGAAAGATCCTTGACTGGTAGATCAAGTGTCTTATTGTATTTCCTTAATTCATTCTGTCTGGAAGAAGATGTCAGCTGTGTTGCAGTGAGGAGAGAATTTCAAAGGCCCCAGTCCCCACCAATAAAGGCCGAGGAATGGCTTTTGAATAGATTTGTCAAGGCAACCCTACTGTTCTGGGACCAGGGAGAGCAGGAATAACATAAAGGAAGGGTTGCTGTATGAGATTAGAAAGTGAAGTTCACAAAGCATGGCAGATTTTTGTAAGAAACAGTAGATCAATGAAACTATTGAACTGTGTGAAAAAAAAAACATGAAAACAAACACAACATCTAGTAATGTTCTTAAATGCCTTCTCCCTTTTTATATTTAAAATGGATAAAATATTAGTATTTTAGCTTGATGGTTTAAAATGAATATGTATTCTATAACTTGCACTCCTAATCTTAATTAGCAGCTGAATGCAAAATTATACAATGTGAGAAAGCAGAAATTATAAAAGAAATGGGGTTTTAGAAGATATTTCATACATCTGAAATAAGTAAAATTAATATTACTATTGATAGAAAACCACATCACAGAGTTCTAGATAATGCAGAAGATTAGCACACAATTAGCCAGCTTTTATATACAATGTGACACTTGCTTGTAAGAAATAAGTATTCTCCAAAGCAGTGTCAAGATATGTAAATGGATGATTTGTTTTATCATTCATCACAGCCCCTAATAAATTCAAAAATCATGACTTCTATAGGTACTAAAAATAGGCTCCCAGTGATACAGGGAGATAGCTTCAATGAAGAATGACTTTCCTTTTTTCTCACTTTTTTTAAAACAATTCAGTCTTTTCAATGACAGCAATTAGCACTACCGACAGACAGGCAGCGATTAGATATATATTTTAATTATTATTCATCCTCATAGTACCTCCAAATCTGATGAAAGTCAGCTATTACCCAGGTGATATGTCAGTCTTAATACTGCTCACCTACACTTCACATATGCAAAACTATGTCTTATAGGATATTTCTAGTATTAATGAAAATGATGGTACATTACAATATGCAAGCAATTAATCATTTTCTAACTCGTTATCACTAACTTTAAAAAGGTGAATAAAAGGAATTTTATCCAGGTCACCTTTAACTCAAACATTTAAAACAAAAGACAGGTTAACATTTATGATTCTGAAATTTCAATTTTTATCTAGGCACATATTTGGTTTTTGATCTCTCATAAAAATAGGATAGAAAATAAACACCCTATAAAGTGAGTATGTCCAAATTTCTCTGGAATGCCAAAGTACCTGTGAAGGACTGTAAAGCCTTAAAAGCAGTTTGATGAGTGTACACAGACACGTGTGTGTACGCTCATGTAACATTTTTATCCCACCAGGAAAAATACGTAGAAAAGGGCAAAATGAGCTAAAAATACGTTTGCCATGTGACAGAGTATAACAAAATAAACAATTAAAATGATAATAATAATTAGTATTAATGTAAATGTACTGGGAAATACATGAATTTCTCAAAGAAATATGAGACATACAGCCATTACACATGAATTCACATGAATTCAATCTGTTTGAAATTCTAGCATATCAAATCCAACTTCCTATTCTTTTTTTTCCCTAACTTCCTATTCTGAAATGTAATTCTACAGTTTAAAAACTAGAGTTACAAACCAAATCTCTTTCATTGTTTTCCTAATGCTTATTCTATCCCTCTTCTCAATGGCTCACACTACCCCCATCCCAGTTCTTCAGCTGAGATGGACACTTGTATAGTGTCGATGGCAACAGAGGCAGCCGACTAGGAAAGCCCTCCCTAAATTCAGAATATGCTAGAGTGTGTTCCAAGCCCCTGGAGATCCTATTCTCAGGATCCCTGAGCAGACAGCAAGGCATGCTGTACTAAAGATAGCAAGTGAAACATGTTTGTGCCTTGGATGTAGCCCTGCCTCGTCCCAACCAGCAAACAGAGAAAGAAGCCTGTGGCCAGAGCCAAGAGTTTGGGATGCACCATGTAACTAAAGTTTCTCTGAGTTTGAGGGGAAAAAAATGGCAATGTAGAGAGTATTTCTTAGAGTTAAATATTCTCAATTTAAAGGTCTTTTACTCTGAAATTAGGAACTTACAGTTTTTTTGTGGTTGTAAATTATCTTTGTGAAATTGGAAATGTTGGGAATGATTACTATAGACTAGAAGCGAATGTAGGCCATAGCGCTGAGAGGCTCTCTTTAACATCTAGACTAAGGGTTGACAATATTTTCATGTAGATATGAAATGAATTAAAATTTTTAATAAGAAAGTTAGAACTTAGTCTACTTTATTTAAAGAGAAAAATATGTATTAGGTATCTGGAGATACATTTGGTGTCCTGGTTGAATTTAGGTTCTTACTCATTTTTATTTCTTTTGTCTGAGATCCACCAATGGCTTAGAGGTAGAGCTTTAAAATGGAAGGTGCTGTGCCCTCAGACAAGAATAACTATGATTCAGCAGGTTGCCTTTCCAAGGACTGCCACTCAGATCTGATGGTGCTGGGTAAGGGTTCATGACAGATATGTAGAACCATAACAGTGTTGATCCTTAACACATATACATTGTGGAATGGTTACTAAAGTCGGGCTAATTAACATATTTCCTCACATAGTTACCATTTGTGTGTGTGTGTGTGTGTGTGTGTGTGTGTGTGTTGTGTGAGAGAACTTGAAATCTATTCTCTTGGCAAATTTCTAGTATTCAGTACAGTACTGAATGCAGTCATCATGCTGTACATTGAGTTTCTAGACTTATGCATCCTTTATAAATGCAACTTTGTACCCTCTGACCAGCATCTCCCTATTTACCCCACCTCCCTGCCACTGGTAACCATTCTTCGCTTCTGTTTCTATGTAATCAACCTTTTTAGATCCCACATGCAAGTGTGATTATATAGTATATTTCACTCTGTATCTGTTTTTTTCTTCCACCTAGCATAATATCCTGCAGGTCTATCCTCACCCACTTTACAGTACTGGAACTTGAGGTATGGAGTGTCTTTCAGGAGCTGTCTCAGGCTACTATTCACCTCTCCTCATGAGTCATGGTTAAGTGCCTATGCTTGGTCTTTTGGTTGGGAACAGTTTTCATTGAGGGTGACTGTCAAAAGTAGCTCTCTCTGGCCTTCCTTCTTTAAAAGAAATTGTTATTTTAAAATTATATAAGTAATACAAGAATATAGTGCTTAAGCTTCGTTCTATGTGCTAACTGCTAAAATAAAAAACAAAGTAAATCAGTTTTTTATAGTAGGTGAATAGTTAAAATCAGTATCTTTATTGTATTAATTTAAATATGCTTACAAAACAAAAAGAAGTTTTTATCAATTTGTAGTATAAGCAGGATGACCAGGCAATTTGTACCCGGAGAGACTTCCAATGTTTTTTAAAGTGGTGTTTGGTGAAATAATGAGTTAATCATTAGGAGGCCAAAAGCAATGAGGCTTCATCTACCACCATCTACGACTACTATTTTTATGGACAACATTCCAGTTTAGTTGTTTTTCTTGGGAGGCATATTTGCAAAATATCTTAGATTTTGAGCTGTTTGCAATTGAAGCCAGGGTAGGGGGCGGTAGGAAGTGGGGTGTTGAGGGACACAGAAGTTACCCTACCACACCCTTCTCCCAACTCCTGTGCTCAAGACAACAGCTCTTTTCTAATTCACTGAACCCGGGCTAGTTTGTTCTTCATTATTTCAAGGAGTCTTACAGAGTGGACAGACTAAAAAAAGAGAAAGGGAAAGGGATGGAGTTTTATCCTGAGTGATGGTAAACACCAGATTCTTATTTTGCCAAACCATACTGAATTCTCCATGAGGAGGGTCACACAGTTAGGCGGGTTCCTATAGGGACATCTGGCAAAGGCTTCCACAGTCTCCTTTTTTATTCTTGTCTTGGAGAGGTGCTCTGAGCAGGGATAATTTCAAAGCTCCACAACAGTGATCTAATAATTTTTATCTCTGGGATATTATAGTGTTTTCTAGAACAATACATTGTATTTTATTTCTATGTAGTGCCATTTACTTTTCAAGGGATTTTCTCCTTGGTTGTTACCTTTGATTCTCCTAATAGTTCACAAAGTAGATGGGATAGGAATTACTGTCTCTGAAACAGGCCTGGAATGATGAGGTGGCTTTCCCAAGACAAAATAAGACTCGGTAGAGTAGGTGGTACATGTCAGATTTCAGTTAGTGATTTGCCTGATGAGTGACTAAGCCAGTATCATTATCAAAACCCAGTTCTTCTAACTCCTTGCTCTAATTATTACCCTTTGGTAAGATATTTTGAATATGCAAATCACTCACAAAAGAATACGACTCATGTATTTTATATTACTGGGGGGCAAGAAGGTAACAATAGTAAGAACTATGATTTATTGAACTTCTTTAAAATGCCAATGTCCATTTTTTTTACGTATGCTATTTTCCAACTGTATTTGCAAGGCAGGTATCATATTTCATAGATGAAAAAACTGAATCTCAAAGAGATTAAATAACTTAGCCAAGATTACACACTTAGGTAAGTGGCTGAGTTGGGGTCTGAATTTTGGCATGTCAAAACTCATGGTATAAAAACTCTTCATGCAGTTTCATGCTTATGGCAAAACTGACAGGATTAAAAGAACTATTCAGGAATAGGTTATTTATAAAATTAACAATTTTTATAAAACCTATGCTTGCAAAGAAATGAATGCCGGCTTTGATTAAATTAAGATGAATTCAACTATTGCCTATTTCAGGCAGATGAAAAAAGACACAGATTAATATATTCTGATGTTTGAAGGCAGTACTTAATCCAGTCTTAGGTACAAACAGTTGAAGAAATAAATCTACTATACAGAACCAACTGATGGTTACCAGAGGGCAGGTAGGTGGGGGGATGGGTGAAATAGGTGATGGGGATTAAGAAGAGCACTTGTGATGAGAATTGAGTGTTGCATGAAAGTGTTAAATCACTACATTGTACACCTGAAACTATTATTACATTGTACCGTTAACTAAATGGCATTTGAATAACAACTTAATGTTGTTATGTTTGTTACCTGGAATGAGATATGAAGAAGTCCCAATTAAGAAATAATGAACAGGGATGTTTCTAGTTTGGGACAAACTAAGTTCCATATTGGTTGTATGTGGGGAAAAAGGTACACTTATTAATCTTACTACTTAAATAATGCTGGGAGCTGTTTTCATATCCACTTGGACAGAAAAAAAAGTACAGGCATGAAATACACAAAATTTCTCTCAAAAAAATTAGGACCTTGAAAAAGACAAATAAGGATGTAGATAAATTGTGAGAGGAGAAATATGAAAAGCAATGTGGGTAGAAGACATCTGAATATTAGAACAGATTAAAAGCACACCTTTATATATTTATAACATTATAAGGAATGGAGTAAAAATATTTCTGACTTCTGTATGATGAAGGTACTTTTTCTAATGGAAATAATAACAACAGTGAAAACACACTGGTAATATTATGATTATACCACTTGGAATTATACAGCTTAGGCCTTCTATTTATTCAAAATTTTTACAAACATTAATTCTCTGGTCCTTACAGTGTACCATAAGGGCTGGTAGAAATTACCCACCATACCTGTGGTGGGAGGTCAGCTGAATAAATGTCTGGGTATTCTGTTAAGAACAAGTGGGAGAAAATCAGGAAGGTCAACTAGTTCTCATTTAAAGAAATATATGATTTGAACAGACAATTGATACAGTCTAGTGTGGATGATGTCAATTGCTTATAATATCAGAAAGATGAGTATAAATAAAAAAGAAGTTTCAACTGTACATCTATAACCAAAATAAATGATGGGTTGAAAGATAAAAACAAAGCGGGGGTGGGGGGGGGAGCATGTTCAATGAGTAATGATAGTTTTCAAGCTCACTAGCCCTCAGGAATGTTGAAAAGAAGTTTCCTTAGCCTGAGCCTGGACCACGACCAGCCCTTGGGTTTCTCCAGGCCGAAAGGTCCATCTGGCAAAAAACTATCAGCTTTTTACTTCTCCCCCTACTGGAAGCAGTGAGCCAATCCATTTAAAACTGGCACATACTGACCACCTTTTAAGAAAAGGGTGAGACTCAACGTATATTAAGCTGCTTTCCTGTAACTGAGCAGCACCAATGCTAAATAGCTGGTGGAAGAATTAGAAAATCAGAGAACAATAACCTCCTAACAGATCATGACCTTCTTCAGCCCAAGTTCCTACCGTATACGGTATGCATACATAACATGCTATAGAAAGCCAAAAAAAAGGGAGAAGGGCTTTCAGAAACACATTTGTTCTTCAGAAGGATTTTCTATTATTATTTCAAGCATGTCTACTTTTTTTATTCTCTCTAAATGTTCTGCCTCTAGAAACGGAGTTTGGGGGCGTGAGGTGATATAAACTGGTGGGGGCTCAAGATATAAAGGCTCACACTCATTCATCTCAGCGTTGAAAAAAAATCTCGTCTCACCTCTCTCATCCATTCTCGAATCGTTTTGCCTGCTTCTTGATGCCACACATTGTGAACAGAGTCTGTCAACGCCACAGCAGTTACCTTACTTTTTACATCTGCTTCTCGTTGAATCATCTGTTTTAAAAAAAGGAAAATAAAATATTGGATATAATTTTTTCCCTCCTGGGTGCAGCCTGCTTAGTCATAGATAATAATATATTAAAACTGAAAAAGTAACAGGCATCTCTTGTACAAAGTTACTCTTTTTTATACTGAACGCGTGCCCTGTTCTTGTCCAGAGATGTGAAAAGACCTAATATTTTCTTTTAAAAAGATAATACTACTTAAGTCTTAGAACTACGCAGCTCTATTATTTTCCATGTGGTTTGACAATTCAAGGATTAAAGGGATCACAGGGGGAAAAAGGAGGAATCCCTGAGGATTTCTTTTACCACTTTCTTCCACCACTTCCCATTTCCGTGCTTCAGGGAAGTTAGCACCCGGGGCTCACTGTTAGCTACTTAGGACTAACTTCTACTTATTTTCAGTAGATGCTATGTCAGTAATGAAAGATGTCTTGCTTTGCCTTCTCTAGTTTAACTAGCCTGCTCTTCAACACGGTCTTATCATTCCTTGGTGTTTTAGATGCCCACAAAGATCTTTCTCTTCAAAGCCTATCAATATCATTTTGCTTTCTAATGTTTTTCTTCATGTCAACAAGCTACAGTATTACACTTGTAACTTCTTTCTTTAGAATGCTATTTCTATAAAATTAAATGGTTCTGAAATTTAAAAAAAAGAGCCACTCGGCTAAAGAAACTGAAGAATTCATCAATGGTCTGCAAGATAAAAAAAAGTGAAAAATAATAGCTCCACATTGAAAGAATCATGAAAGGTTCTAATCTACCAAGACCAGGGACTCTGATTTGTCACAAGCATAGGAAAGCTTAATAAAAAATTACATTTAAAATCAGTAAGTAGTCCTAAATTTCATAGCCATGCCCTCACTGTTTCTTTGCATCCAGTGTATTTTCTCCCTCTATAGAAGAGCAATTTCTTGATCATTTGCTATTAACTTCTATGAATTGCCTCTCAAAAGTATATATCTACATTTTAAAAAAGTGAGAATTCTGAGTGGCGATGAAAGCGTATACAGTGAACGCTGAAAAGCCAGGCTACGGATACCAAATTATACCTGTTGGCATTCTGAATGGAAAATGTCTCACACTGTTTTAAATGTCTTCAAACCCTGCATATGCACATCCCCTCTCACTGAACACTACCTAATGGGAATCTAACTCACTGTTAATGCTGCTTCAGCAGAATTTCCACACCTTAAATCTCTGGGCCTTTTGTTTACTGCTTATATAATGTGGAAATCTTAAAATCAATGTTGCTTATCAACATCATAATAAAGCTGCAAAAATTCACCTTGCAATATCAATAATATTTTTAAAAGCATAAAATAATACTCTAATTCAATACTTCTCATTCATTATTAAGTAGTTTGCTACCTTCTCCTAGATTTTATTTTAAAAATAGATTGTCATCCATACAAAAGGATGAGATTGTGCCATTTGAGAAAATATGGATGGACCTGGAGGTATTAATGCTAAGTGAAATAAGTTAGACTGAGAAAGACAAATACTGTATGGTTCCCCTCATAAATAGGATCTAAGAAAATGAATAAACAAACAACAAGCAAAATCAGAACTATAAATATAGGGAATAAAGGGACGGGAGGAGGGGGAGGGCTTGGGCAAAATGGGTGAAGGGGAGAGGGAGCAGAAGGCCTCCAGTTATGGAATGGGTAAGGCATGGGAATAAAAAGCACAGCATACAGAGCACAATGATATTATAATAGTGATGTACTGGGATAGGCGGTAGCTATACTTGCGGTGAGCACAACATAATGTATAAACTTGTCAAACGGCTAAGTTGTACACCTGAAACGAATGTAATGTGTATCAATGACACTCAAATTAAAAAAAAAATAAAAAAATAAAACTACCTTAAAGAATAGATTGTCATGGATCATGTTGGCACTAGAATATAAAAATTTAAACTGACATCAGATGATAGAACCCAAAATTCCACAACAGTGAATCCACCTGGCTCATGAAGAACTTGCATGTCCTCACTCTCATTTTCTAAACAGTTAACACTTTTAGAGATCTAGAGCGATTGTTGCTAAAGTTACAAAACAAGAGCATGCTCTCCTGGTATTCTAAGAATATGTCTGCATTTTAAAATATTTGCCCTGGATTTTGTTGTGGTTGTTGTGAACATGTGCTGACTTATGTAAGGTGGCGTTATTTGAAGACACAGAATATTGAGAGCCATTTGTGAAATGATATAAAATTAAGAGTCAAAGAGGCTCAGGATTTAGTGCAAAAGCAGAAAATGTGGTAATTAAAATTCTACAAACTTGGAAAAATATACAGTTGTTAGATGGACTATCAGAGAAAAAAACCTTTGGTCTGTTTTTTCCATCTGGCTGACATTTCACACAATAGATGTGATGCTGTGTAACTTGTCTTCACAGAATCCAGCATGATATTCCTTATACTGTTCTAGTCCTTTACAGTATAAAAATCACTTTCACATTGTATTACTAGAGGTGAAGAATGGTCAAATTCTAGAGGATCTCAATGAAGAGCGGGCTACAAATGAAACCAGTTCAAAGAATTTCAAGTATTCGACTGTTTAAAAGGAGTCGTAGAACTGTAAATTGGTGAAAATAGTTTAGTTCTTCAGACTATTTACCTCTATTCTGGCCTCACTGCAAACTACTTGCAACTGCCATTTCTGTTCAAAGCCTCTGACTTCTTGCATTTGTTAGCTTGGTTCATAGCCCTTCCCTCTCTTACTTCCTCCACTGGGAGTGAGTGCTGATGAAGAATGCTGGAGAACAGCAATCATGGGGTAGGGCGAACATAGGAATCAAGATTGTTTGGTAGCCCCTAGACAGAATATAGAATGGGTGGAGGTGCAACTGTGCAAGAAAACAACAGACTAGGATAATCTAGAAAACACAGAACTCTGACAAGGAGGAAGCCATATCACTCAAGTCTTACTACATGTCAGTCTAAGGTGAAGAGGTGGTTTTTATTAGGATCCATGGATATGAACTCCTTTGAAATTCCTTGCAAAATTCTGTCTGTATAGGATAGGAGTATTTTTCTGGAAGAGGGTTCTAAGCTTTCATTCGATTCTTAAAGGGATTTTAATCTCTAAATTAATAAGACCCAGTGATTTCAATGTCTCCATGTATTCTTGGACAAACTCTGAAGTACCTGCTAAATGAACTCTTCAAACAATTAAGATCAAGATCACAGCTATACCAGTTTTTCAAAAATAGAGGATGGCTTTCCATTTTTTGTTATAATGTCTTTAGTATGGTATCAATAGTTGAATAAAATAGTTGAAAAAATAGTTGAATAAAAGTGATAAAAAAATTTGATGTCCTAGACATCAACATCTCAAAGCTTCATGGCTTAAGAGGTTATATATATGATAAAATTATAATTAGCAGATTATTTGCTTTTATTTGTGTGTACAATATTTATTTATATCTGAGTAGCACTTTATAAATTTCAGAATGAATAATCATTCTTATTTTATTCTAAATGTTGAAATGTATACAAAACTTGTGTTATTTTTTCCATCTGTGGAGGAGGAAACTGGTTGAGACTGAGAAATTGGTTAAAGGCCACACAGACACAAAATGACACAACTCTGCATTGCCCATGCCTTTAAGTCCTGTGTTCTTTCATGAATGTCATATGGGGTCTATTTCTCAGTAATATATCATAATGCTCTTACATAAATGAACTCATCTGATTAATCTTTTTTTCTTTATAATATTTCAGTAACATAGTATTTCACTGACTTGAACATTTAAAAAATGTTTAAAGAAATTCAAATCCTGATCAGTAAGGGATATTGAAGTTCTAAAAATGATGCCAACATAGAAATCAGTCATGTGCAAAACCAGACTATTAACAGCATTTAAAAATTATTGTTACAGTTCTAAAAGAAAATGATGTCTACGATAAGAGGGAAATTAACTATTAAATATTTCTATAAAACATATTGATGATTTGAGAATACAAAATATTTGATGCTGTCACCTGATATTTTTGTCCCCTCTCCCCTTTTAAACATTTATTTATTTTTGAGAGTGAAGGAGAGAATGAGAGGGAGAGGGAGAGGGAGAGAGAGAGAGAGAGAGAGAGGGAGAGGGAGAGAGAGATTGGAGAGGGGTGTATAGAGAGAATCCCAAGGAGCCTCCACACTCTTAGTGTATAGCCTGATGTAGGACTCAAACCCATGAACTGTGAGATCATGACTTGAGCCGAAATCAAGACTGAGCCACACAGGCTCCCCTTGTTTCACTTTCTTAATTCTATTTATCTCTTCCTGGTCCTCTCAGCTTCTACACAATTAATCTGTTCTTTCCTTTCCCATATTGCATGTTCCTAGTCTGACAAAAGCTTAACTAATCCAATAAATACGAAGTACTTTGAACAGATTAAAAACATATATACCATCTGTATGCACATTTACCTTACTACTAAAATTTTTGGAGTTTGTATTTTTTTTTTCCAGAGCAAGATTTTAAACAGTAAGTAACTGTAACAAGAAAAGAGAGCCTATCAGACCCTAAGAATATTTGGTGAGATGAAGATCAGAGGACCAGGGGATGGTGTGGGAGGGTCAGAGTCAGCAGCACCCAGTTTTACTCTCCTCCATGTACGTTGTGGCCCTTCCTGCTAACATCTCTTGCCTGAAATCACACAGGCCTTTTCTGTCCACCTACCTCACCTCACCAAGCTTTCTGCAAGGCCCTCACATGAAGCACCTGCCTAATATCTTCACAGGTTCCTGGCCAAATCCAAATACTCATGTCCCTCTAAAAGCTTCTTTACTCCCTTTTTGTACCTATTTCATATCTCCCACAAGTCTATCATGAGCTAATTTTAGAAAAGGAAAACACAAAGACTTTTTCACTTCCACCAAATTAAATTAAAAAGTTGCTGTCCACTTGTCTTAGCTTAGACAGGCTTTTGAAGGCAGGGAGATGTTGATGTTAGAGGGACACTCTGCCATGAGTCTTTGGAAGTAGTTTCCTA